GGGAGATTGAGTTGTTTTCCCTCTTGTCATATTCTTTAACGATATTTCTTTCCTTAGCACGCTGCTCTTTATGGCTTTCATTTTCAATTTGCAGCTTCTTTTTCTAAGTACTGATGCCATTAAAAGTCTGCATAATTGGTTTAGAATTAATTAACACACTTGAGGATGGGGCAACATGTGTCTTGTCACCAGCCCTGCTTGAGTTCCTCTTCAGAATTGTGTCTTTTGTCTCCACCCCATACGTACTGCCCTATGTTCTCTTTTGGTCATGGGTGCGACAAGTTTCCTCCATCCGTGATCTTTGTGTTTGATGTGTTATTGCTTTCCATACTGCAGGTAGAGCAGTCTCTCTCTGGGTACTTGTCTCGTCTTTCTCTGTATCGCCTTTATAATTCAGCACGGTGGTATCAGATGCTCATCAATTTTTGGACATATGATGGATTTATTGGTATGATCTTGAAGTAAAGTTTGTTCTTGTTTGGTTTGTTGTTGGTTTTTGTTTTTTGTGTAAAAAACAAACAAACAGCAACATCAATCTAGAATAGAAGCAGAGTTATATTGCGATTAAAGGAGGTTGGGGTCGCCTATTGTCAGAGCTAAAATTGGCGAAAAAATGGCCCCCAAAGCTTGGTGACTTCCAAAGCTTGAGTGTCCTCGGAAACCACAAAATTACACATTTTTGTGCTTTTAATCAACGTCTTTCGGTAAAATGAACACAGAAATTTCGTTTTGAATAGACAGAAAAGGTGTTGAGCTAAATCTTAAAAATCGCCCAAAAATTGCTAGTGTCGGTTTCTTCGATTTCATCATTTTGATGAGCGCCTGGTTTCACCACTTGTTTGCTACAAACTCAACCTGAGAAATCAATTAGGGCCTACACTCTTACTATTTAATCTATCGAGCATACGTGGTGTAGTGACGAAGTCAGTAATACTAAACTGATTTTCTGTGTGGCAAATCTTCCACACAAAAAAAGATTCTCAGTTCTTAGGTCATTATAACATCCAAGTCTCTGCAACAACTTGAAAAGCATTTCTTCCTCTATAAATAGATAGACTTTTACCTAGATTTTCATAACTTTTTTTAAAGCAACCATCTACACTTTGTTAAAACAAAAGTAGGTTGCATTATTAATGTCTTCTTTGATGGTCAAATGGAATGTTTTATCTTTTATCGTACTGAGTGGTTCCCACATTACTGATCATAATCCAGAATTGCTGTTAAAAAGTCGAGACATGTCTTTAGTATGACCCTCTTTAGATAATTAACAAAATAGGCGTATATGGCCCACTTTTCAGCTCAAACTACGGTCATTTAAGCTATTTGACACCACGCCCCTCCTTCCTGTCATTTTCTGTTCTCTCCTGTTACTCTCAATTTCATCCTGTTACCCAAATATAGGAATCACAATCGAGGTGTTCGTTTGAAAAAGAATAGACGTGCTTTTAGTTTAAACCTCTTTCGTGTATTCTATTAAACGTGGACTACCTCACTTTCTATACGAAAATGTTGTAAAATGTTAGGTAATAGGAGATGAGTTTGAAAGCAGTCGAGTAAAATGTGGCGATAAAGAAATCAAGTAAAAACATTAAAGATGACAAGTATTAAAATTTTTTCTTCTATATCGCTGTCCAATACTCCTCACTTCTGGGAACTATTTGATCAATTGAGCCTTAACTTTTATCCCCAGACGTATTTTAGTTTTGGATCTTGCCATTTTTGCCAACTGAGCTTGATTTCGCTACCTTAGAAAAACAAAGTTCTTTCTGCTCAGTACCTCGTTTTGAGAAATTTGACGTAAAATATTTAGAGTTTCACAACATGTGAAGCCTTTTCGAATGCAGTTCTTTGAATATCTTATAACGTCTCCGGGTAATCTAACGATTTTGATAGAACAGATAAAACATTTGGTTTCTGACCTCAAGGTCATAGTAACTCAAAACGGCCAAAAATATCAGATAAAGCTTTGCAATTGCAATTCTTAGGTAGCGATTTGTCTAAGAGTGGTAAACGTTTTATGATTTAGGTACCCTTGAAAACCTCGTATTAAGCCCAAGCTATGTCTCACCCTGCTCATGAACACAGCCCAGGAGCAACTCTGATCAACATTTTATATCATTATTATACATGGGATTAGGTCCGGAGTCGCAAAGTAAAAAAAAATTGCTCTTTTAAAAGAAAGGACTCATAAATAGATAATAAAATAGTTTTTTTAAACCACTGCATCTGTGGGAGCACTGTTTTGGATTTTTAAAAACAACAACAAAACTAGAAAACAAGGCAAATGTTCTTCTTCCACTTTTACAGACCTGAAACAGACATCGGTGATCACAATGAATGTTCTCCAAATAGCTAAAGTTATGAAAATTATGATGTCAATACTCGAGTTGAATTTTAAAACATTCCACACAGCTAAGTTATTTGTCTTCATTGTGACTTTCTTTTTTTTTTTCAACCGATACACAGGCAATGTCTTCTTTTTGAAAGGGAAAAGAGAGGTACTCACTCGGACTGGATCCCCTCACACCCTTTTCCCATCTCTTTCTTTAAAAGTGTGAAAGACGACTGCGAATGAAAGGAATGTCAAAATACCGCTTTCCAGAGCAGGAATGAGCTGATTTTATGTCGGGCTGAGGCAGCTCGGTTTGTGACCGAAGTGCGAGTCCACCAACGTGTGAGTAGCTCTGACGACACTCTGATATTTTTCGTTATAGGATAGTCAAGAGGACAATGGATGCAAGACGGAAATAAGAATTGAAAGGTTCTTTTAATCAAAAAACGAGTAGAATTGTTGATAAGCATTTAAACCAGTCATTTGCATGTAAACGTTTTTAATTTTGAGGC